GCGGAAATGCATTACGTACTCGAACTCGTAAATATATGGCTTTGCCGACGGTAATGGTAAGCAAGCCAGACAGATTTATCACCAGAGATATGCCGATCGTGCTTTGCCAGATAGTCGACCCTTTTCTAATACTCATCGTCGTCTTGTTGAAACTGGTTCTGTCCGAAAAGGAACATTCGAAGGTAGAACTTTAAGTGTGAGAACACTGAAATTGACGAAGCAGTGCTGCACGAATTCTAAGAACATCCTGAAACGAGTACGACGAAGATCTCTGGACACTTAAGTAAAGGGTGTCCCAAAATTAACGCAAGATTTGAATTAAATAGAAAATGCCATTTTTAGTCTTTTAATAGTTATATTTTTATTGACTCATAAAGTACATAGGATAGGGTTATGTATGGAATAACACATCGGACAAATGGCCTCCACGGCTTTGCATGCACATGCGCACTCTTTTGTCGAAATTTTCCATGACCCTTCTGCATAAATGTGGCTGAATTTCGTTGATGCAGCGTTGAATCTCCTCCTTTAATGCACGGGTGGTTGTGGGCTTGTTGACATAGACTTGTGATTTCAAATAACCCCATAAAAAGAAGTCTAATGGTGTTAAATCACACGATCTAGGAGGCCAATTTTGATCACCGAAACGAGAGAGTACACGACCGGGAAATGTCTCATGCAGTAATTGAATTGTTTCACGGGCTGTATGACATGTGGCACCGTCTTGTTGAAACCACATATTGGGTACATCAATATCATTCAATTTTGGCAGAAAGAACTGTGTAATCATGTCGCGATATCGAGCACCAGTAACAGTCACTGCTTGACCAGCATCATTTTCAAAAAAATATGGCCCAATTATGCCTCCAGCCCAAAATCCACACCAGACAGTCACGCGTTGTGGGTGCATTTCTTTTTCGACAATCACACGTGGGTTCTCCGAACCCCAAATGCGGCAATTTTGGCGATTGACAAAGCCATCAAGATGAAAATGTGCTTCATCGCTTAGGATGATTTTGCTTGAAAAATCAGGGTCCATTTGTTGATGTTCAATAATCCATTCAACAAACTCTCTTCTCTCTGCATGGTCATTAAGCTTCAATTGTTGTGTTAATTGAAGTTTGTAAGCATGAAGACACAGATCTTTGGTGAGTATACGCTGTAGAGAGGTTCTTGACATTTGCAATTCTTGTCCACGACGTCGAATTGAGGTTCCTGGATTGTCCGCAACACTCTCACGCACTGCTTCGATATTCACATTTGAACGGCTTGTTTTTGGACGACCAGTGTGTTTGGCGTCTCCAACGGATCCAGTCTCCATGAATTTTTCAATTAATCTCTTCATAGTTGACGAAGTTAAAACACTATTCCGGCCATATTTTGTATGAAATTTTCGAACTGCAGCCGCCAAGCTTTCACTATTTTTGAAATATTCTTTAATAATGAAGACACGTTGTTCTATCGTGTAACGCTCCATTTTTCATAACCCTATACTGTTAGCTGTCAAATTGCTTTTTTTCAGGGTTGCCAACACTTCACTGCACAAATGGCGGCAAATTCAAATCTTGCGTTAATTTTGGGACACCCTTTATTTGGCATCAAATTGTTTGGAGAATTTTAGTGGATTTTTTGTTCTTTCCTTACCATATTGTAAGAGTACAGGCATTACTTCCCATAGATTTTCCAAGGCGTGTGACCTTTTGTCAGTGGTATCGTCAACAAATTACACAAAATCCGCAATTTGAATCAACGATTCTGTTCACGGACTAAGCTAATTGTTTTCGAAATGCCATTCAGAATTTCCACAATAATCATTTGTGGGCAGAAGAATATCCCTATGCCGAAACCGAAACCCATTTCCAACACCAATTTTCGATTAACGTATGGGTAGGCATTATTGGCCACTACTTTATTGGCCCATTCTTCTTGCCGGGACGACGTGACGGACAGACTTATCTCAATTTTCCTCAACAATAGTTGAGCATGATGGTGCACCAGTGCATTTCAGTGTAGCGGTTCGTAATTATTTACAAAATGTTTATCCTAATCGTTGCATTGGCCGCGGTGGGCCCCAAGAATGGCCACCAAGGTCCCCAGACCTCAACAGTTTAGATTTCTTTTTGTGGAACTATCTTAAGACACTAGTGTACACAAGTCCCATTAACACTGTAGAGGAATTAGGAGAAAGAATAGTTGCAGCTTGTGATAGAATAAAAAACACTCCAGGGATATTTCAACGAGTGCGAAATTCCATGAGAAGCCGGGCGGAAGCATGCATACTAAGTGAAGGGGGCCATTTTCAACAATTTCGTTGGTTTTAATGTTATGTTTATGTTGACAGTTGTTGTTGTTCATTACCCCTAATGTGTTTAATTTTTCCAATTAAATTAATAATAATTTTGCAAGTTAGACAATAGAACGGTTTTTATTTTTTTACTCAAAAATGGCGCATCGAAGGAAAGCAACTCAAGAGAGATCATTTGTTTTAAGTTGAACGGGGAATTCAAAAATAATTTTTATTTGGCGAAAAAACATTGGCGTACCATTTTTTTCTTAAAAAATATCGAAGTACGCACGCCACTGTTAAAGCTAAAAATTATTTTTGCATTGAAAAATTTGCAACTTTATTAACTTTCAGTACGTACTAAATATCAGTGAAATATCTGAAGCAGTTCTGAAAACATTAATTAATTTCCATTTTTTCCTAAAACTTCAACACCCCAAATTTTTGGAAGGAAACATTTTTGGACCATAGTTTATAAAGCAAACTAGCATTAATTTTTCATGTAGATTCACAGTCTTAAATATTCGTATATCATTAGGGAACCCCTGTATAACTATTACGTCCATAACTGCACCGATTTTCACGACTACCTTTTACTATTTTACTATGACCCCACACCATATTTACAAATTTCCTCCAGTCGGTGCAGGCGCATCTAAAATTGCGCGTTTGCAAAAACGCTAACAAACTACCGACGAAGACGAGTTACATGGATTCTCATAATTTATACTTTATGAAAAATCGAAAAACCTAAATGCAATCCGAAAAGTTTCTTGAACATACTGTCACTCTAATGAGTAAAGTTAAACCATTAATTCCAAAAGTGACCTTGCCGTTCATAGTTTTTGGAAGGCTCCCTACATATAAAGAATGCCTTAAAAAGCGTAAAACTATAAGCTGAACTGTATCTTTATCCGCTAACGATGTTCCAACCTCTTGAGGGTACCATTCATTATCCCACCACTTCAAACAATATAGAATTACCTGCTCCTGTGTTCACTATCAAGCACACCTCGGAGCTTCTGCAATTATACACATCCGTGTATGTTTACATAAAGAAGCCAAAGCTACCCTGCGATATTTGCGACTTCCCTCAAATACAGTTGCGAGGAGGTCTCCGATACCCGAAACCCAAACAAATCTGCGCCTCGCTGACATACAGACGAACTGTGTAAACGATGTGCCTTCACGATGCTTGGCTTTTAGTCCGGTGCTGAGGTTCTGACTGATAAAAATTATGGAAAGGACGAATTTTGGTTTGGAAGTTGTCAACCAACTGTAGCATTGAAAAGAATCAGCTCATAAAACAGAAATTTAAAATATCAGCAAGGTGCTCATCGGATAAAAGCGAAAAAGTCTCCTTAACAAGCCCGCAACATCAATTCATGAAGGATCAAGTTCAGCGAAATTATATTCATAAAAGGGAAGCATATCCTCAGAAGCATAAGATAAAAATATAAGTAGAACTATAAGCATATCCTTGTTTCCATAATCATAATGATTACCTTATACTCCCGAGGATATCCTGCAAAAAGAAGTAAAAGGTTGACTGGTAGTTGTATCTTGAGCGACATGTCCTGACTTGTTCCTGCTTGTAGATGACGTGGGAGTTCGTTCACTCAGCATCACTGACAGTTGTACTCCAGAGCTTACACAGACCATTCCGTATTTTTACTAGATCAAAATTATCAAATTAATGAGCATGTCATCCTCAAGTGATGAGGAAACTATAGAAAATAATGGCAACGACATGTTCATCGCAGATGAAATTGCCATTTCTCCCATTATTTTGCAAAATTGACAAGTTCCAAAAATAAAAATGAGAAAGGACGATGCCTTGAAGAAGATGTTGAAAAAATACGAATTAACATTCGATAAACCATTAGATACTGAAGGAAGGCTTATAAAAAAAAATCAACAACATGAAATCAAGATTGAGGAAAAAAACAGGTCTAAAAAAACTGGTAATAAAGCAATTACACTGTTAGTTTGGGAAAGAAAGTTGCTGAAAGCTATGGAAGGTGACTGTAATCCTGCAATTGGGAAAATTAGAGGTGCCATTCAGGTTGGTAGTGTTCAAGAAGAAGGAAGTGAACTATACACCGAGGGCAGTGAGCAAACAGTTAGTACTACAGCACCAGCAATTCAGAAGACATTGCCACCAAAAAGAAAATTAGAAACAGAGAAATACGAAACTGAGGAAACCAAAGGGTTAACTACAAAAGAACTCCAACGTCTAGTGCTATTACAGCAGTACCAAACAAGGATTTTACAATAAAAGTATTATGAAAACGAAATTAGAAATGATGCAGCGTCAGAAGCCACCTCTAACATATGATGTTCACGAAAATAAAGCTTATTATAACTTAAAAATACACTTTAATCAGTAAAACTATTTATTATACTGCTCAAATTTCTTCTTATTTGTTGACCTAGTTGGCGGAGAGGAAGTTCGTCATTCTCATGATTTCCTTCATCTTCATCTGGGTCTTGTTCATCTAACTCAAAGTCAGGAGCGTCCAAGCTCTTCGCAACATTATGGGCTACAATACAAGCAATAATTATTTTCGGCACATTTTCCAACTTTACGCGGCAAACATACTGTAGGATAGGAAACCGGCATTTCAGTTGGCCGAAACAGCGTTCAATTATAACTCTTTCTTGTTTTAAAAGCTTCGTATAATTTATTTCTGTACCTTGAGTAGGATTTATGAAGGGAGTCATAAGACATGGTTCAATACCATAACCGTCATCGCCAAGTAGTACAACATTTGCTTTATTTATTAGTTGTGATCTAGTCTGTGAATTTCTCCATACTCTGCAAACATGCACTGATCCAGGTCAACTAACATCAACACTTGTGAACATCTGTCTGGCATCACAAGTGGCTTGCACATTTAAAGTAGGTTTCCCTTTTCGGTTGATATACTCACCTCCACGGCGATTTGGTTTCAGGATTCCTATATGTGTACAATCAATTACACCAATTGCTTTCAGAAATTTATGCATGCTTTGCCATATCCGCTTGGCCTCCATCAGTTCATGGTTGGTAGTTGGAAACTTGATCCATTCGTTCGACTGTGCAACTATGCTGTTTACAACTCTATCCACAGTCAGAGATACCCTTGCTTGACTAACACCAAGTTCCTGACCAATACCTTGTTGATATCCAGGGTCACCGAGATAGCGTTGACTTATCTTCATTTTATGAATACATGAAAGTGCTCCTCGTGGATTTTTCTCATTCTCAACTAAAAATCTGTCCGCAAGACATTGTACATTTGCTTCGTCGAACCGATATAATTTTTCGAAGTCACGACCAAGTGAAGGTAAACGAGGTTTGTACGTTTTAACATCCCTAACATCCACAATTTCCGACATCATCGTTTGATCACCTTTCGTTACGAAATTGAGTCTGCTACTGACCACACTCAGAATTTTTGAAGGATATGCTTCCTATGCCAAGTAATCGTATAAGGTGAAGATTATTAATATACTTTTACTTATGTTACTGCTTTGAAGGATATGCTTATATTCAAAAAGCAAAAGCATTTACTTGAAATTATTATAAATACCATCTGGAGGATTTCCTTTAAAATTTGCAAGTACAAGGATATCCTTTGTTTTATGAATACGGCTGAATGAGTTACGGACATAAAGAATAGAGATATTACAATATTTCCTCGACAATTTTGCCATAGGAAGTGAAATGCATGTATTTAGGCTTGCGCGAGTACAACAAAATTAATATCTGCGTTTTATTATGAAACGATTAAGCATTTTTTTTCGGATGTTCAAATTTATTTGTTCATTAGCAATGCTAATGATTTGATGGAAAGCTTTATATAACATAGGTCCGAAAATGTCCTGCTCTCAAAATACCTTCACTAATATCATTTATATCATATTGATACAGTCCTGGCTCAAGTTTCACTGTATACAGACTGTAACAAAAGCTTGGAACGCATCAAATATCTGACGAATGACTCATCTAATTTTTTTAAAAATTGGTGGGTTTAGGTTCGAAACAACAGCGGATCCGTTGATGATATCCGCGATGTTGCAAAATCTGCAGTTTTTCAGAAACTGGTAGCAACTTTTGCTTTTCTTATGGAAAACATTTTATCCGATACTTGTATTCTATAAAAAAATTCAGAATACTTAGACGTAAACCTCATGGTCTTCGAAATAACAATAAAACTTATTGTCTCACCTAAGCAATGACCGGTATCGAAAATAATTTCATTTCCGACATTGAACAGTCCATTGAGTTTTGTTAGTAGAGTTATAAAAATATGATCTGTTTAACTAAAACAAAAAAAAGAAATTCTAGTATTGATTAAAATGTGTATTTAATATTCCAGGGAAACAGTAGAAAAATTAAGAACAAAGAAAACAATAAAATCTAATTGTTAATTTAAACTTCAAAACAGGATAAAAATCATATTAAATGTTTAGATACTTCTTGGCAAAAAGCTAGATATTGCGTAAATTTGTTATTAAAAATATCGAAATCTTCTTGATGTGTGCGTCGACAATCGCCATAACTCAGAATCATTAGAATTTCTATTCTCTCGGTTTCAGTTAAATGGATCATTCTCAATAACTCTACTAACAAGACGAACTTTTGAATGTCAGTAATGACAAGAAATTACTTTCGATACCGGTCATTGCTTAGGTGAAAAAATACCTTTTATTGTTAGTATATTAATGTATGACAGCGAATATTTTGAATACTACGAGGTCTACGTCAAAGTATGTATAATAAAAAGAATTTAGAATTTCTCGCAGAATACAAATGTCGAATAAAATGTCCAAAAACAAAAGTGGCTATCAGTTTATAAAAAAATGTAGATTTGTCAATATCGCGGATATTATCAATAGATCCGCCGTGATTTCGAACCTAAATCTACAAATTTTTATGAAAAATTGGATGAGTCATTCGTTGGATATTCGCCCCATTCCAAACTTTTGCTACACACTGTATGTAAGTAGCAATTAAAAAAGCGGTCCTTCATCTTGCCTTTACAATATACTAACCTGTGAAATGTTATGCCTCACGATTTTTTGGTATCCGCAGCGGATCGCCTACAGTGCATCATCAAGGCATCATTTGTAACGAAAAAGAAACATTTCCAGAAAATTTAATTTCCGCTCCCACGGTGCGTAGGCGTTATCTCAAATGGTTTTTGAAAAAAAATTATGAATCTTCATTCGCTTATTTATATTAATACCGGTAATTTTGGGGTGTAAGTTTTTCAGTAATATTTTCTACTTTTTTAATGTTGCAACAAATGTCAATTTTTAGGCACTCGAGAACTAGAATGTGGAAGCCATACTTACCTTCGATATTCGCAAATGGTAATATTCAGTTTGTCTTCTTCATACACCACATCGAAACGTACTCGAAAGAAAAAAGTTTTATTTTGGAAATTTAATATTTCGCTACTCCAGCTTGATTATTAATTTGTTGTTCAGAAAAAAATAAGAAAAAAGAAGGCAGTATGAGTTTTTAAATTGTTTAAAAATACTTATCTTCTGTAGTAGAAGACTTGCCGTTTTTATTTGAAAACGATATATGATAAAAGTTAAAAAAATTGTTTCTATGTTACTACATATGTTTTTGTTTTTTAAAGATATATACGATATAATTATTTTGTAAAACTAAGAAGACAGTTTGCTATACAAGCAATTTTTATTTGTTTATAATAACATGCTTTTCAAGTAAAAAAATGAAACACAGATATTTTTGTTTTGATTTATTTAATAGTATTCGTCACCACGAATATTCTCATCCGCCATAATATAATAGGTATTACTAGAACCTGCATTCAACTTCTCTTTACCGCAAGGTAGTTATCATAAGTTTTAGAATCTGCGCACTGGACTAATAAACTATGTAAACGGTGTACCTTCCCGCTTCTTGGCTCTGCACTACTTTGCAGCAGCGTGCATCTACGGTCGTGCTGTTGAAAACGTAAACAGGAATCTTATTTTCATTGCATCGGCGGCGCGGCGTCGACACGTCACTGCCTCTACCTGATGTCAGCGTAAGCACAGAGTACGTGGGGATTCACAGGATGTATTCGCTGCTACCTTTGCCGCATCGTAATAAGATGCAAGTACCGCGCAGTTTACTAAATCCTAACCGAGCAACATCGATTTTGTGAAACGGATTGCTTCTCAACGGTTCAACTTGTTTAAGTAGTCTTCAGGTACGTGTGCAGCGACGATTGCCGTGCACCTTGATACAAACGTCAAGTGTTATGATTAGATGACACTGTCACCTATGAAGAAATCGACAAATCAGAGAAACACCAATTCTGAGTATTTAGTTAATACAAAGCACGCCACAGCTGGTAGCGTGGTGAACACTTAGTGTTCCCCTGATTCACGTGTCACCAGTTTTGCGCAATCGAAAAAGACGAAGTTGATAGTGTCGTTGAAAATTGGTAGGAGGACAATAATCAGGTTTTGAGAAGCACTATATGGAAATGCAACTTAGTTGTGGATCAAATAATAATAAACCTAGACGAAGATAGCGATAGCGAAACCAAAGATTTAAGTTTAAGTAGTAGCTCAGATTCCGATTCCGAACTTTCAGGATTTGATCCTGTGTGAAACTTCAGAAATCTTTAAAATATTGCTAAATGTATCTACTACAATGTTAGTTTTCTGACCTTACTTTTCATTTGATTGTTTATTAATTGAAATTATTAACAATTAAAAATAGAATGAGTACCAATCAATTCAATTTCAGTCTTATAGCTACATAGCGTGCAGTACTTATTTTATGGAATAAATTGTTTTGGTTACCTTATTTCTATGTTTATCTCATTTATATAAATAATCACATGAATCCGACTTACCTTTCTTCGGTAGCGAATAGGTGTGGAAACATAAAACCATTTTTGTAAAACTAATGTATTATGCAATTTTGAAAATATTGAAAATGTAGTACATAAACCTTTTTTTTAGATGTAAATTTTTAAATGTTTCTGGTGGACGTACAATTTTTTGTATTTTAAGATATCCTAATGATACAGATTCGTTAATTGCATATTATATACTCTAAAACTCAATTTTATAATGCACATAAGCTCGTCCCATTGAACAAATTTTCCCTAAGAGTTATCGACCCACATGAAATACTACAGGCAATAGATCGCTTACGATCGGGTGCTCGTGGAATTGATGATCTAACGCTGACAATGATAGAACCTAGTCTTGTAACGTTAATGAAGTTACCAAATTTAGAATATTGGGCTCACAAAAGGACATTTAAAAAATTTGACACATGCCCACAATTAAGATTAAAAAAAGCAGGCTTCACATAATACGTATTTCATTATTGAAATTATTCGATTAATTTAGGACTGTACCACTAGAGATCGAATGGACGTATTGTACGTCTCGTGTGCGCAATTCTAAAAAATCCTCATATCTCTTCCTACAGTTGAGGAGCTGTACTGGTCGCTCTTACAACCCGTTCGAAACTCCTTTCCTCATTTCAAAAATGGAAAAAAGAAACTTTTGACTTGACTTACACAAAAAAAGATGGTAGTAATAACGATAATAACCGTATAACAAACACATAACCTTGACAAACTATCTCTCAAGAAACGTCAAGTTGGTATCAAGGCGGCCTATTTTATTTTGAAACTAATTGTATCTTGGCTATTCAAGAATGATCTTATTTGATTTATTTTTATTTTCACGAAAACAGTGCACTCTAGGAAAAAACAAGAGTGATTATTTGTAGCAAATTGAAGGTACAATTCGTACTGATGGCGTACTATTTTTGTTTGGAAAAATAATGCCACTAATCCCCTGCAAATCCGCCACTGGTGCACGTTAATTTCAAGTAAAGACTTTTGAACGTGCACAATACTTAGGTAAATCCACATACCAAATTCTAGTTCATTCCAGTTGACAGTTTTGAAGATATTAAAAAAAATTGTTTTTTATTGTTTAGCTTTTTAATGAAGCGCTCGAGAAAAAATATTACATACAAGACCCCCTTAAAATGCGGTCCTTTGTATGATGTTTCATTTTTGGTGACGACTTTTGAATCGCGTTGTATGCACAAGAACCAATACATGGAAAACGGAGTAAAGGATGTGCGCACGTAATTATAGGCAATGCAAGTTTACGTCCCTCGTGTGCCCAACTGTCTAAGTTTACGCGTA